CGGAGCCCCCATCGCTGCCTTTTCCTTCCCTGGACCAGAACCGGACCTTACAATCCCGCCCTGAGGGGTGACCGCTGGTAACAGGTCTGTGTCCTCTCGAACACTTTTATTTACAAACACGTATATACATATACGCTGCGTTGTACATGGTCCACGGACACGGGATCCCTCTGTACGCATGGCTTTGCGTATAACCTGGGTGTGTTTTTTCCTTTTAACAATCACCATGGGCATTTTTCCACGTCAGCACAAATATCCCATTGTATGGAACTGTCTTGCCGTGTGGGCATCTTTTGCGTGCCTACTGCGTGCCTAGGAAAGCTCTAGAAGTTTCTAGTCTAGAGAGGTGGGTGTGTGTGTTGGGGGTGGGAGAGGGTTTTACCCTCTGGGCGGCGGAGACGCACCCCTTTGCGGTGCAGGGGTCCCACAGTCCTGGGGCGCTGTGCCCCCTCCCCCTGCAGGCTGTGTCCAGTTCCTGCAGTATTATTACCAGAGGGGCTGCCTCTACCGGCTGCGGGCTCTGGGGGAGAGGAATCATTTGGACCTCACCGTGGGTGAGTAGCCGGCCTGGGGGTGGAGGGGCAAGTACCCGCCCCTGCCTGCTCCCCCAGACCTCGCCCCTAACTCCCCCGAGCGGGAGCACGGGCCAGTCAGGACGTAACAAGGCCTGCCACACCCCGAGCCGGGCTGCCGGCCTCTACCCGAGCTGCTTCTCATAATTCATCGTGGATTCCGTTTCCGAAGCTACATGGGAGACCAGCTGGCTTCTCTGTTTCTTTTTAAATGTCTGTTTTTCTGTCTGTGATTCATAATACCGGGTGTACCCCAAAATGTATGCACACTGTAACAGCTGATAACTCAGTTTTGAAAATGAAATGTATTTTAGGAAACACTGACTTCATAATTAATTATTCAAAGTGTGTGTATACATTTTGGGGGGACACCCTATATAAATTATGTGTAATACGTCTACATATAAATATATATAAACATATACATGTATGTATATTGGGAGTGTGTGTAACTTTAGCTCATGGGGTGGGTGTCCAATCAGGAAAGCTTGGAGACCTTTCATCTAAACTCTCAGGGGAAACTGTTTTTAATGAAACTACGCTGTCTTTTAACATGGTCATGTCTCTCAAATTGCTCCGCAAAGCAGGCCCTGCTTTGTCAAGACTCTGTTGCCATGGTGCAATCAAAAGTCCACTATAGAATGCAAATTAAATTATTAAAAGCACATCAGCCTTCCGTAGTGTCGTCAGGCCCACTCGTTCTCGGTGACGTGAGGCTGAGGGCCGTCGGGCCAGGCGACAGGTGTGCCCATTCTCTGGGTGGTTTTCATAGCGAGCGCTCACGCACCCGTAAGAGCTGAGGCCTGTCTCCCCTCCGCCCCCCCTTGTGTGTGTGCGTCTAGCTAATCTCAGGGTGCCTGGCATGGCTGAGCAGTGGGTACATGGCAGGGCCGTGGGGGCACCTGAGTCCCCCCCTCACACAGCCGTCCCCCTCTCCACAGAAGGATTCCAGTCCTGGATGTGGCGGGGCCTCACCTTCCTCCTGCCCTTCCTGTTTTGTGGCCACGTGAGTACCCTTGGCGTTTGTGGGTATCCCCTACTCTGTGCTGACCCCCAGGAACAGAAGGTCTGCAGGCCTGTCTTCCATTCACCAGCCACCCCTGAGCTGGGCCTCATGGGGTTCCAGGGCTATGACAGTCCCCCCCGGGTCCAGGGGTGCCAAAGGCAGGAGCTAGAACTGGCACTTGGGCTACTCTGTCTCAGGGTGCCCCAGTTCCCTTTAGGGGGTTTTCAGTGTCTCAGGGCAGTTGCTACCAGAAGCTGGGGGTCCTGGTGCATCCCCTGGGGCTTTCCCACGTGGTCCCCAGGGGACCTGGGGGCTGAGCAGAGCCTGCCTCCCTCCCTCTCTGCAGTTCTGGCAGCTCTACAATGCGGTCACGCTGTTTGAGCTCTCCAGCCACGAGGAGTGCAGAGAATGGCAGGTATGGTGTGTGTGTGTGTAGCCGTGTGTGTGTAGCCGTGTGTGTGTAGCCTAGCCGTGTGTGTGTGTGTGTGTAGCCGTGTGCAGCGGTGGTCCTGGGGAAGGCTGGGCCGGCTCGGGAAAGATTCCTTCTTTAGCCCTCCCCCATGGGGCCCAGTCATCTCTGCTGCTGGGGCCTGGGAGACGGTGGGAGGGAATTGAAGAGGCCTGGGAGCCCCTCAGGGAGGGCTCCCCATTGAACGCCACTGGGGCCCAGGAGCTCCCCTGGCCCCTGCCTGACCCTGAGGACTCAAGTCCTTCAGCCCATTGGCCCAGATCTCTGCCTTTCACTGGCAGAACCCCGCGGTTTGTGGGGAGCTTGTGCTAAAGGGGCTCTGAGGCCTGGGGGTGGGGTGGCACTTCAGCAGGGGGAGCTCAGAGCTGGCCCTGCCTTTCCTCCTTCCGGCCAGGTGTTCGTGCTGGGGCTCACGTTCCTGGTGCTCTTCCTCGGCAACTTCCTGACCACACTGAAAGTCGTGCACACCAAGCTCCAGGAGAACAGGAACAAGGCGAAGCAGTCGTGAGCCCCGGGATCGCGCCCTCCAGCTTCTGTGAGCCCCGGGACTGGCCCTCTGGCCCCTGTGAGCCAGGGGACTGCGCCCTCCAGCTTCTGTGAGCCCTGGGACCACGCCCTCCAACTTCTGTGAGCCCTGGGACCGGCCCTCTGGCCCCTGTGAGCCCGGGGACCGCGCCTTCCAGCCTCTGTGAGCCCCGGGACCGGCCCTCTGGCCCCTGTGAGCCGGGGACCGCGCCTTCCAGCCTCTGTGAGCCCCGGGACCAGCCCTCTGGCCCCTGGACTTTGAGACTGCAGGGGGACCTCAGTCGGCACCCTTGCTGCCGATTTCTCCTCGGCAGTGCCAGTGGCCACTGGGCAACAATGACCTCAGGGGCCAGCGGCCGCACCAGGAGCAGGGTCAAGGCCTTCATCCCCAACTGGACAAGAGGAATGTGACCCCAGCCTGTCTGTGCAGTATTAGCCACCCCACCCTCCCTATCTATTTATGACATATTTAATATGGGGGCCTCCCCCTCGCCCCCGCTGCTCTGGGCCAGACTGGGCAAGTCCTCCTGGGGGGAGGCTAAGCCTCAGGGAGCCCCTCTGTCCCCACTCCTGGCATTTGAACGCCTCAGGGTGGGGTGTGGACATGCCTCCCTAGGTTGGGTGTATGACCTGTGACTTAGAGTCCCAGGTGGGGGTGGAAGGCGGGCCCTGGGAGTCCTGTGGAGCCTCCGTCCCCAGGTGCACGCTTCTGCTGCAAGCTCCCACCTCCTCCCGGCCTCCGTTTCTCTGTGGGGCGGGTATTTAAGTTCTCAGAGAACCACTGTCTGTGCCTTGTGCTGTTTGTGCTTCCCGAGCCCCCTGACTGCCGGCCGCCGGCGGAAAGCCGCCCCACCTCCCCGAGGCCTGGGGTTCTTGGTCCCTGGAGCAACTGGACGTGAGGCAGGAGGGTTTTCTGAGAGTCGCCACCAGAGGGCGCCCCAACCTCTGCATCATTTGGGCGGTTTGAGGACCGTATTTGACACTAAGTTGGGGTCTGCTCTTGGGGGCTTCCTGGCCCTCACCCCTCAGCCCACCTTTCCGGATTCTTGCGGCGGGAACTCGGAGTGAGACGAAGACCCTCAGTGCTGGCTGGGACTTCTACCAGCACAGGGGTCCCCCAACCCTCCACCTCCCTCCCTTAACCTCAGAGGCTCTAGAAAGTGTGGGGGGGGGCATCCGAGCAACCTCACTTTCAGGAGGCCGCCCGGGGCAGTGCTGCTGGTCACTTCATGCTAGAATCTGTATTTGTGGGGTGGATGTAAGACACGAGTAGGCTCTGTTGAATTTTCTGCCCCTCCTCCCACACTTGGGTCTCAGCTGCCCCTAAGGACTCCCCTACAAATCCTCTTCGGCCAGAGCTCAGAGCCGGTGTCCACAGCCGCGCTCTGGCCCTCAAAAGGGTAACATTTTAAAAATTACTTACATTTAAAAAATATGAAATCCACCCCACCCCCACTCCTCTAAGATTCTGCATAAAAAAAAAAAATCCAGATCTCTGCTTTGCCTAGAAAAATGGACAGACCTGGCCACATTCCCACCGGGCGGTACTCAGCTGGGCTGCGCTGCTGCCTAAGGTGGTGCTTGCTTTCTAATCTGCTGCAGACCCCACCACTCCGTTACCCCTGCACTCCTCCCTGTTACCCCTCCCCTCTCCGGGCCTGTTTTCTGTAAAGGGCCAGATGGTCCCTGTCACGACTACTTTAGCCTGCAGTTGTGGGGCAAGGGCAGCTCACGCATAAATAAATGGGCATGGCTGTGTCCCAATAAAACTTTATTTACAAAAACACACAGCAGCCAGATTTGGCTCGCAGGCCACAGTTTGCTGACCTCTGTCCTAGGCCCTCACTTGTCCACGAGGCTCTGGCCTCTGCTAGAACAGGAGGTGCTTGGTTCGAACACCCCGGTGAGTCCCCGGGGCATGGCAGGGCCTCAGGGAACCTAGGTGGGGGGTGGTGGGCTGCAGAGGCCTCTTTCCCTAGCAGGTGACTTCAGAGAGGCTCAGGCTTAGTGGCCAGAGCCCTGGGCACAGGGAGCGGAGGAAGGAGATACCTGGGGAGCGGGAGCCGCCGGTTGAAGCCATCAGCCCATCGAAGGCGATGCCGGCTCCTGAGCTCACTCAGGAACCAAGCAGCTCTCAGCCTCTGGGGTATTGGAATCACCTGGGGCCCTTGTTTAAGAAATCCTGGACACCCGACCCCAGACCTTCCAGGAGGAGTTTCTGTGAATCTGCAGCTGGGGGTCGATCAAGTCCGTTCACGAATGAGGCCGGGGTGGTCTCGGGCCCAGAACACATCTTGGCAGAGGTGGTGGCTGTGAGGGGCAGAGGGGAGCCTGAGGACTCAGTGGGCCGGGCTGTCCTTTTGCAGACAGAGACACAGTCTAAAGAGCACTGCCATGCCCAAATCAGGAGCTGCTGTCACCTCCTCTCGTTTCCGGCAGTGGGGGGCTGTAGGTGAGACCCCGAATGGGTCAGATGGGGGTCCAGAATGTTCGTTTGCTCTCTGAGTTTCTCCTCCCCTGGTCATGTGCGCCCAGCTCTGGCAGGATGTCAGCCAGGCCGGAGGCTGCTACTGAAGTCCTCCGAGGGGGCAGAGGGGGGCGGGGAAGGGGGTGCGTCCCCGCGTCCGGGGCTGTGTTCTCCTGATAGGCCTGGTCTCGCCTCCTGGCCTGGGCGCTCCGGGGGCAGGAAGCCGGGAGCTGGAGGACGCAGCCCTGCCTATCTCCTGGCCCCGGGAGGCGGGTGACATGGGGAACGCCGCCAGCTCCAGTTACCCACGGAGCAGCGCAGTTTGTCACTTCAAGGGGGGCACATGCGGCTGGGGGGGCGGGTGTCCTGGGGGCAAATGCCGGCTCCAGGGCACGGGGGGACTGCGTCCGGCACCTCTGCCCACCACCACGCGGGCCGCAGCTGGGAAAGGAGGGGTTCAGAACGCCCCCGGAGTCTCGCCACGGGCTCCAGACGCCAGGCACTGGGGACCCGGACTCCACGTGCCCTCGGAGCCGGTGGGCAGGGGCCCGGGGTCAGAGCAGCAGGCAGCGCCGCTGGTGTTTCTGCCGCTGCGCCTTCTTCAGGGAGCTCAGGGCCACCTTGGCGGCCTCCCGGAAGACGTCCTCCACGTTCTCCCGAAACTTGGCGGAACATTCCAGGTAGAGGGCGGCTCGGATTTGCTGGCAGGTGCTCAGGCCCTGGGCGGGGGGGCGGCCAGCATTAGACGAGGGGCCGGGAGCCTGGGGTGCTCCTGACGCCCTGGGGGGTGTGGGGCCCCCCGCTCCCTCCCAGGCAGCCCCCCAGCGTGTGCAGCGGGCACAGCAGGGTTCATCTGGTGCGGTCCTGCAGCGAGAGGCCCCCTCCTGGCCTCCACCCGCCACTTCAACCTCAGGCAGAAACGGGGGTGACTTCTGAGAACCGGGGTGTCTGTTGCGCCTGCCAGGCCTGTGAGGAGAGGCGAGGGCCTCGAGGGGAGGGCCCCCTAACACACGGCTCTCCCTCCCCGCAGGCTCCCCGCAGGCTCCGCTCAGGCGGCTGGGCTGCTGCCGGAGAGGAAAGGATCTATTCTAGAACACGTTTACGCTCGCTCACGCTCACCCCCTTTTATTCAACGTTGTTAGTTTCCCTTTGTGCTCCTTTGGAGTCTCGTGAGTTAGGGGACGGCTGCCCCTCGGGTCCCCTGGGGTACAGGACAGAATGATGGCTGAGAGCCCAGACTCGGGCCGGAGAGACAGGGACAGCATCCTAGCTTCCCGTCGGTCAGCTGTGTGACCCTAGGCAAGCTACTTAACCTCTCTGAGTCTCAGTTTATCCCCCGTAAAATGGGGAACACCAACAGCACCTGCCTCAGGGTGACAGGGTGAAATGAGGCAAGTGCGGGGCTCAGGTAAGCGGGCTGTCGACTTTTTTAAATTATTCTTACAATCCCGTTGGCTTCCACTGTCCGAAAGGCCACGGGGGTGCCCCAGCTGTGGAGGCCAAAGGCCTGGGAGTC